AGTAAAATCTCTGTGTTCCCAGCTGTTAGAAATCTTACTATTACTTCGTTACGCCAAGGATCGGCATTAAATTTAGCACAGCGTCGCACCGTTGTGGATGTTGAGAATCTTACACTTCGTACGAGGATCAAAGCTGTGCCACTGCTGATCGAAATCCTTGCATTACCATCATCACTAAATTTCGTCGTTATGACAGGAGACATTAAATCTCTTATCAAAATCAGGAGAAGAAACATTTCTTCTGCATTGGAAAGGGATTGAAAAGCCTCAACATTGGTCTCATCTTCCTAATCCATTATGGCATCTACAAAGCTTTATGTTTTCTGATGTTTTATGAGCAGCAATGTTGGTCCCATTTATCTTAAATCAGTTTTTGAAAGCTACACATATAAAGCAATCTTCCCTCCAAATGCTCAAGAGCAATATTATTATTGTTTTGGAATGTAACCAAAATAATATTCCAATACAAATTGCAGGTGTGGGTTTTAATCATTGATAATGTTTTTATCAAAACGAAAGAGTAACAATTAGTGCTTCAAATAACCAACTTCTTAGGTTCACCCCTTGATGCAAATATCAACCACCTGTTAAGCAAAAGAACTACACACACTGTAGAATGATGTTGCAACTATCTGCATTACATCATATAGATGGATGTTATACAGGTGCAGACAGATCAAAACTATGGATTGGGTCATGTATTTCTGAGAATACAGCAGAAACATGATCATGGCAACCATACAAATCCTGATGGGTTAAGGCAAAAGTTTTATCAGATGCTTTTATCAGATATTTTTCCTAGAGCAAATGATTTGCAGAATGCATTTACATCAGCTTACAATGGGAAAGATATCAGAGCACTAGGAAAACCCCACTTTGATTATAGGCAAAATTGCAAAGAAGATGGGTTTATTCCTCAACCTGAGGGAATAAATTTCCTGCTTGATAAAGTAATCAATTCTATGCTAAAAGCACCATGGATGTACCTTTATGATAGGCTATGTTCTCAAACACCAATTAGATCCAATCCTATTGAGAGTACTTGTAGTCATGCACAAGTCATTTTGTTTGTAAAGAATGTTATTAGTGCATTAATTCCAGATGAACTATGGGGTGGGATGCACAACAAAACTGTAATCATGGAAACAATTGAGCAGTTTATTGGTCTCTCTGATGGGACTAAACTGCTCTTCCATGAAATTATGAAAAAAATTAAGACCCATTTATGGCTTAAAAGTATATTGGAATGTGATCCTGCACAAAAAAGGCAACTGCATTCAGAATTTATCTGGTGGATACTAGATCAACTTTTTTGTAGTTTGCTGAGAACAAATTTTTATATAATGAGTGCAGGGAAGTTTGGGACAGGGTCCATATTTTTCAGACAAGGCATTCTTAAGGAAGCACCCTGGGTTGGTATTGCCGAAAAATATGAGCTTTGTCTGGTCAATCCAGAAGAGACAACTTTATACACAGAAGCAAAATTGGGTATCAAGAGTACAGGATTTTGCCCTGTTGCTCTTTTAAACAGACAACAGCACTATGTTGGTACATCTGTGAACAAAGAGCCTGTAAACTCTATACTGAAACCAATTCAGTCAATATTGTCTCTAGAGAATGATATGGTGAATGACAATGGACTGTACCATGAGTTACAGGGGGCTTTAGAAGAATATATTATCACACACAGATGGCAGGATAGTTCAAAACCATTATGGTTTGCAAAAACTGACATTAGCTCTTGTTTTGAAAATATGAAACAAGATAAGCTACTACAGGTAGTAAAAGAGCAAACTTCACAGTGTAAAGAATATAATGTTTGTTCACTTGTAGCTGTGCATTATGCTGGTGATAAAGTTTTTACAACTTCAAAAATGGTTGCATCACCATCAGGTAATTGTGTTGCTTGTTATTATAGAGATAAATTCTGGTACTAATTATTATTTGGAATAGATGAATCTGTTCATGAGATGATTGCCAATCTCAAACCCAGAAAAAATGAGAAGGCACTTTTAATTAAAAAAGTAGATACATTATCTCAAGAACAGGTTATGAAAACCATTGAGCAGTTGGTAACAGAAACCACTTTTAAGGTTAGAAATTTTTGTCTTATTATTATTATTATTATTATTAAACTAATTTTAACTCAATAACTTTAATATTACTATCCATACATTAAAATTAGATTAATGGTAGTTACTACAAATATAAAAGGGGGATTCCTCGAGGAGCATTAATATCTGATGCAGTTTACAGGTATTACTGTTAGCCTTTGCATTTTATATTAATATAATAATCAATATCAATATATCAATCTGTCCAAAAAAATAACAATAATCTTTATATTTCTTTACTAGACAAGTCTTTAATAGTTTGGTAAAAGAAGAGTTGGAGTTTGTACAATCAAAAGACTGTGTAAGTATAATAATGTATTGTAAAATCTATTATATTATAGTATAGGTAATATTTATTATGACAATACTTAACACATGTAGGTCTTTCAAAACTGTGTTGATGACATGCTCATAATTTCCCATGATGATGGTTTGGTGGAAAAATTTGTAAACAGAATGGAAAAGGGTATAATTTGTCTCACTTTTGTTTAATTTCTGAATAACAATAACAATTATGGTACTCAATATTAATATGTGTAAATAATTTTAATATAACCAGGATTTCCTAATTATGGTTGGTCCATCAATAAGATGAAATCCAAGATCCATTTACCAAAATCTCCTATCCTTGAAAATGGTATTTGAATCAATCACTTTTTATACTAATACTGAAACTCAATGTACATGTTAAACTTTCACTTTAACAAATTTTACTCAATTTATAATTATAACTAGACGTGCACTGGGTAGGCTGACTGATTTCATCAGTTGGCATGGATATATGTGGAGCAGGTTTTACGTGGAAGTTATTTGATGTTAATGTTTTGTTTTATTCTGGGATTTCAAAATGG